GTTGCCATCGATTGTTTTTTTAAATTTGCAACAATTATGCAAAATTGAAAATTCTGAAATTTTTTTATTATTTTTGACAATTAGCCAATTGTGGAAAAAAAATCGTACGAAAATTTGAAGTACACCATTTTTTAGCTATTACCAAGCCCTATCTGAATCACTCATCAAAAATTTATTTTCGTCAAATATGACGCGCGCACGGGCATTTTTTCCTGGAAGTGACAGTTTTTTTCAACATTTTTTATCTCCGTCAAATTGTAACAATCGAAAAAAATTTTATAGGAGAAAAAATGTTTGTTTTTTCACGTAGAATACTGCAATAATTTTTTTTTCGGTTTTTCGAAAAATTTTTTTTTTCGGTTATTTGCAATTTTTTTTTCTCACAGTCGGTACGCTAAAAAGATGAGAAACCACAAAAAAAAATTTTTTTCCACCCATTCAATAATACTACATAACAAGTATCGTAAATTACATAAAAAAAAAATCTTTTTTTTTCGACCTTGAAAAATAATTTAAACCGAAAAAAAAATTTTTTCGAAAAACCGGAAAAAAAATTATTGCAGTATTCTACGTGAAAAAACAAACATTTTTTCTCCTATAAATTTTTTTCGATTGTTACAATTTGACGGAGATAAAAAATGTTGAAAAAAACTGTCACTTCCAGGAAAAAATGCCCGTGCGCGCGTCATATTTGACGAAAATAAATTTTTGATGAGTGATTCAGATAAGGCTTGGTAATAGCTAAAAAATGGTGTACTTCAAATTTTCGTACGATTTTTTTTCCAAAATTGACTAATTGTCAAAAATAATAAAAAAATTTCAGAATTTTCAATTTTGCATAATTGTTGCAAAATTTAAAAAAACAATCGATGGCAACCGTGAGTCATATCATTTGAAAGCTCTCCGAAAGACCTTTCAAACGCACCCACGCGCGTCTCTGTACGTTAATTTCTACCAGAGATATAAAACTTTGAAGTTAGACTGATTTTGCCTGTGGGGGGGTAAAAGTGGCTGACCGGCACTGTAAGATAGGCCGAAACAAACAAACTGTACGCGGTAAATACATGATAGACCAGAAATGAAATAGAACATAGACAGCTGCAAACCTAAATAAACAATTAAGCTGTATGAATCTCTTGGTTCCCAGGATATACTTGTTCCTGAAGGAAGTGGTAGGGACTTATCTTAAGTTTGTGAGCCCCCGAGAGGGACAAGCGCAGTCAGTCCTGTACACGATCTCGCCTTGTAAAGACATCTCTCTGGAGCTCTGTCACTTTATAATAAAAAGTATTATTATATAACTGCCGACTTTGACGCCTAGATTCCTGCAAGTACCCACACGCGCCTTATAACTCGACCATCGCTACCGCAGCGTGTAAAACTTGCCGTGACAATCCTCAAAATTGGATGACATTTGTCACGGAAAATATTTTATTTGTTGTCTTAGAACAGTTTTAAAAAAATATTTTTGTAAATATTTTTTGAAATATTTATATTATTATTTGCACGATAGTTTTTAAAAAATTAATAATTTTATTTGAGAATTAAATATTTAATTAAAAAACTAATAAGATAATTAATGTTATTTAAGAATGTTTTTCGAACATTATGATTTTTTTCTGCCTACTAATTTACCAACTAAAGTTGCCTTCTAATTCTGAGGGTTGAGTTAGCGTAGTCGGTTAATTGCCGATCAGTTATAGCCTTTGCGTTCGGAGTTCGATTCCTATTGCGAGCGAAATTTTTCTCCAATTGTAAATGTTCAATTTAATAAATTAATTCAGTTGTAAAAACAAGATTGAATAAATGTAATAATATAATACTATTGTAAATATTATATAAATGTTTATTCCTATAAAAACTGTACAAAAAAATATCACAAACAATTTCGGATAAATTTTTAAAAACTTATTATAAATGTTTCGGAAATCCATCTGAAAAGTTTAGCAAAAACTATGCACAATATATATACAAATATTTAGAAACATTACTTGAAATCTTTCAGAACGGTTTTTATCTGGAACATTCTCATATTTTAGAAATATTTTTGCACAGCATGCTCTATATATATAATAAATCCTCAGATTGATATCTTGATTGTATTAATGACTTTTATTCACGTTAATTTAGACGCATGAGGCGCAGTATCTATGGAATGGTCCACAAAATTTGATTTAAAATATTCATTACAATATATTAATTGCGACTAGCACGAAGTTTTGATATTAATTAGATATGTTAAGTAAAATATCAAGAATTTGATAAAAACAATATAAATAATTTTCACATATATTCGTAAGATAAAACATTAGAAAAAAGAACTATCTAATGTATTTTGTTTTCAAAATATCACATTTTCTTTGTCGATAATGCTTAATGTTGATCATCCGATCGAAATGAAAGCTTAAATTTATAAAATATCATTTTAATAATCATTGGGAAAAGCTATAGTGAAAATCTCATCTGTAGAAACTACTCGTCAAGCGTAATTAGCAATTCATATTTGAAAATATTTTGCAACATATTGACACACTAGGAAAGAAGTACTTTTTTATAGATCTTGGCGGAATAAAAGGGTTTCATTGAACAATTTTTTTTACGATGGGTAGTTTTCTAGATATTTTTATTTATTCATAACAATTGTAAATAACTATTAAACTAACATTCTGATTGTTAGAGATCTAAGAAATTTAGATTCTATGGGTCCAGATCAATGAAAAATCATTGTCAAATTTTGTGAATTTCTCCATGAGTACAGCACGTCAATTAGATATCTAGACTAACATTAATAATTTAAAGTGATTAGTACAAACACAATTTTAATCTAAGAATTAGTTATGTACATGGAGTATACTATGGAAACTAAATTGGAAAATAACGTAGACAAAGAGAAAGAGGGGCTAGAGAGTAAAATATCTCGCGGGTTCAAGCCATGCTTGGGTCGGAAATTTTTCATTTCATTAATATTAATATTTTAAATAATTATAAAGATATTTGAAATAACAATTTCATACAAGCGATTATCATAAATATTATAATAAAAATCCATCTGAATTTAACTTGGAAATATTTAATTGGAACTTTTAATAAAATATTCCATGCTGTGTAAGTTAGAGGTTATCTTTTCAAATTATGCTAAAATAATTAGTACAAATAGATAATTTGATTACCATCTGTGAAATTAATAGTGTCGTCTTAAAATATAATTTGAAAAGAGAAACAATAAATAGAATAAAATGGAGGTAATTACATTTTTACTTTTTACATTGTAAAGCGAGAAATCAAAACTAAATATTATAATGTTAAATTTCGAATAATTGTTCACGGGTGTTTTCAACGAGTCAACAAAAGAATATACGATATTGAAATGTATTCCAGAGACCATAGAAAACCACTTCTATTAAGTAAATTTATGATTGTACGATACGAATAATGTAATAAATTACAGAAAAACAAGATGAAACCACGCGGAACGCACTAATTAATGCTAGTCTACAAAGTTTAACAAGGATCGCGTCAGTGATCTGCAAGTGAATGCCGGAGGCACGTTTATATACACACGACACTATACAATACTTTTTCATGTATGAAAATGTTCAATATTGATTATGTATTTGTGTTATATACAATTATAAATAAACAGTATACATCCAGAGCTTTATTATATACGTCATAAATTAATTCACAAAAAAAAATTGTAGATACGTAATCAGGCTAGGAAAGTGATTGGTAAGTCCATAACACGTAATAAATTGACAACCGAGGCGAAGTCTAAGTTGTCAAACATGTGCTATAGACTTGTCAATTTCTCGGACATGGTGCCTATACTATTCTTTGTCCAGCGAGGCCAAAAATAGCATGTTACTAATTGAACTGCGACCTGAAATTAAGTAACATTTCCTGGCTACGGCTTAATCAGTAACATGCTAATTTCGGTTTCATTGGACAAAAATAAAATAATATGGCTGGGGTATTGACAAGCCTCGGCTTCCCTCGGATGTCAATTTACACATGCTGTGACATCACCAATAATTTCCCGGCCTTATGTAGTAATTTACTATTTCTGCAACTTTTCAGAATATTTCTAAATTTTTGAAATTAGTAGATAAATGATACGCATGCTACTTCGTTTCAGATACTTACATAAATTGAATAAGCAGTTCAAATCTTCAGCAAATATGAAATAGCTGTGCATGATTTATACCTTAAAATCAATTATATATATGTATGTGTGTGTGTGTGTTTTTTTGATAATTTTCATTTTTACTAGGTCTGTTACTATTAGTGAAAATATAGATTTACGGTAAGCTTTTTTGATTATTTGTACACGTATTGTATTAAATAACAATTACAAAATTATTATAAATTTACTAAAGAAAAATATTATTATATCAAATAACGATATATGTATATGTATGTTTGCGGATAATTTCATATTGACTAAGGATGCCAGTTCAGACAAAGCAAAAATTAAAAGCATTAAAAACTGACAAAAATAAGTGAGAATTCTAATATTGTCTCGTAATTTTATTTTTTAGAGATTGGGCTGTAGATATTTAATATACACTTATTTAATTTATGAAAGGCATTTTCATTTAATAATGACAAATACAATAGCATTCACTATTTTGTGATAGATTTCATTCATTATAAAAGTTTAGAAGCAGCTAGTTGATGCATATGAAATATAATGTTCTTTAATTTACCAAATGACCGATCATTTCTTTAATCATTAAAAACAGCGAAAGTATAAAAAACATTCATGTAATTTTTTATTTTGTTTACAGATTTCTTGTCGACTTGAATTCAATGGTTACATATTTAAGCTACAGGTGGTTGGAAATAAGCATGTAGTGTTTGCTTAAAAGTTGCAACAGCGTGTGTGCATATATGTATAAAGAAAGAGTGAGAGAGAGGGGGAGAGAGAAACACACACACACACAGCAGAGAAAGAGAGAGAGAGAGAGAGAGAGAGAGAGAGAGAGAATAAAACAGTAGTGAGACAGAAGGAGAGACTGTAGGCAAACCAATAGGATATAGTCTCCTTGTATAGGAGATTTTGCCTTCTTCGTGATTGGCTATTTGCGAGTGGAAGTTGATCAGTGTATAGACATATGGATAAAACGAGATTGCCGAGACGCCAGTAGTTGCCTAGCCTATTTTATTTAGTTCGCTGCCTTGTCTTTCATCACATTTTTTTCTTGTTGTTAATGACACATATATAAAACTTGCTGATTCGCTATATTACTATCAAAATTATTGAAAATACGTTATTTATCTGTTGCCTTGTTACGCAAAATCGGCTAGAGTATGGTCGCTAGTTCAAAAATGGTAAGGCAAGTTCGAGATCACGCCTTTCGGCTGCTACTCTGTTTCTCTGCCATTTTTTTAACGGTTAAATGCACTCTCTTGGCTAAGGGCGTTCACCGTTTGTCCAATATGTCATACAGTCTATATAATTTAATTAATTTGTTAAAGATGAACGTAAGGGTTACAACGATGGACGCTGAGCTGGAGTTTGCAATTCAGCAAACGACCACAGGAAAACAGCTCTTTGATCAAGTGGTTAAAACCATTGGCCTGAGAGAAGTATGGTTCTTTGGATTACAGTACACTGACATCAAAGGAGACCAAACTTGGATTAAACTTTATAAAAAGGTGAGGATTCTGTATTGTTTATTTATTTGTATATAACTGTATTTGTATTATTATGCACTATTTATATTATAAAAGCAAATGTAGTAAGGTATTAACAATTATGTAGGTAGCTAATTATTGTAATACTAATGCCATTATGAATTCATTTATTATTATTGATAGTAAATTGAAATCTGTTTCTTCCACCAATACCCAATCATCTCTGAATATCCTACATCATATTTATTTTCTCTTATACCTTTTTTGATCAGTAACTCTTCAAAACGAATACCCTGTATTAATTTAGTTGATTATGCTATCTCTATAGAAAAAAATTTAATCACGTACATTTTTTTATCAATTGATTTCATGACCTATAAATATAGGAATTTTCAAAATTTATAAGTTAAACTTTGAGATTGAGAGGGAAAGAGAGAAAGAGAGAGCGCATATTGAATTTGTTGATATATTGTACATAGTATATAAATTAAAAAATTAATAATGCAAAAGAGAGAGAGGGAAAATCAACAAACTGCAATAGCTGAGTAAATGTACAGACTTGCAATGAGTTGAAAAAATAATCAAATTCAATTTGAATAATAGAAATAAATAAGCATATCTATCTCATTGATTTATGTAGCTGTAAATTTATTGTGCCATGCATAGGAAAATGCAATATGAATAATGAGTAATGAAGAAAACATCTTTTGCCTTGTTTATTTTTAGTTTGTAAAATCAAATCGAATTAGGTTAAAGAAATTGACTTTTCATAGATGCTTATCAAAGTATACTAAGCTGAATATTAGAAGTAAATTTTCTCTTTTTCCTAAGTATATGATTTATTTTCTCTTTTTTATGTTATTAACAATATCATTATTTTGTCTTGGACTACTTATGTTACATTCTACATTAAACTTGCCTGCCGATTGCATTGGCAATCTAAAGCCTGAGAATGCACTAACAAAGGTTATCAAGAAAGAAGTACAAAAAAAAGTACAAAAGCTGAGAGGGTTATCCAATTCCAATGCAGAAGATAATGACTTCAATGGCTCTTTGGTAAGACTAAAGTCTTAGTAACATGTTCTCGCATAAGAAAGTTGTTAATTTTCAATTTTAAAAGGAGAGAGAGGCAATTTAAACTTAATGTATAGGAATACATAGTTTACAATGTTTTTACAGATTTGATTATTTTAGTTAACTTCAATTTTTTATGAATATTATACCCAGCTATCTCTTAAGCAGGTTCACGACAGTTAGCTACGGGCGTGGTGTGGAGCAACGCCCCTCTCACCGCGCAACTCCTCGTATAACCTATAAACTTGAGTTGTTATTCACATTTTGATTAATTGTTTTTCAGTGATGACGTTAGTTAAAACCGTGGAATTAGGTTTTGGAATGTTTATTTTACATGTAATAAGTTTTTTTAATGTCCTATGAATTTTGTTGTGTTTACTGTCTAAGTGATTCAATATCACATCTCCGAAAAAGCGAACTTCTTAATCTATTTTCTTTCCATTTTCGATAGTAATAAATATTGAAAAAGTTCTGGTATATTTCTGATGTTTTAATCTATTACAATTTTAAGTTTTATCACAATCAGTGCATTTTTATGTAACTCCTGAACCTCTTTAACCCGTTGCGGCCCAGCATGTCGTAGCATTTCACTCTTTGAGAATCCTTAATCAATGCTATTCGCATTAAAAAAATTGTTATTTTGATGAAGATTAAGGGCGGGACATATTTTTTTAGTTTAAGATGTGTTCTTTTCGATAGTAAAATCCAATGTTTTCTAACAATTTTTTAACTATGAGAACATTTAGTTTAACAGAAAAAACGTGATTATTCCTCATATGTTCTAATATATTAAAATATATTCAAAGTGTAATTGAGAATAACATTGTTTACAGTAATGTTTGTTGCAATCGATGCAGTATCTAGTAGTTTGCAAAGAACCGATCCCCTTCACTATTATATAGTGCTTTCAGTTTTGATTCGTAATTATGAAATTGAAAATCACCTGATTTCACCGGCGCTTAAATATTTTCTGCTGACTCTTGTTCTTTTCGTTTTCATTTCAACTTCATTTTTAAATGAGTTCCACAATGTTACAGAGTTTGTGATTGATGATTCGATAATTCGTGAGAAAATTTTATATATCCATTTCTCTGAACAATATTTGGAGAAGCTTTCTTACATCGAAAATTGTGCTAATCAACTCCTTCTCTAAATTTGTTTCATAGAGAAAAACAAAAGGAAACCCATGTTTTGTCCTTTTGTCAATAGTTAATGAATATCTTTTTATTGGGTTCAACAATGGAGTAATGTCAGTTGCTGTGAAAAGGATAGATACCTCTTTTGAGTCAAATTTATCAATGAAATTCATTCTACGCTTTTTTCAAAATTATGTTTTTCCGTTACTGTATTTTTATGGACAGTTCCCGTTGATCACAAACCACATTTATTCAAGTGAATGAATCAATCTGGACTTGTAAAATAGTTATCGAAATAAAAATTATAATTTGATAAGTTTTTTTTTTTTTTGAAAGACTGTCTAGAAGTGGATTTATCATTTATAAGAACTCTGAAGCCAAGTGAACATGCGAATACATTTATTTCAATGTTTGTATCATTTTTACCACAATAAGCATCTAAATTAAATATATAACCACTTGCAGAACGTAAGGCCCAGAGTTTGTTTCTATGTCGATCAGGTTGCAAAGGTAAATATTGATTTAGATAAGTGCAACCAAAAAATCTAAGCATAATTTCATCAATGGGATATTTTGCCTCAATAAAAGTAAAATGTTACTAACTTTTCATGCCCTATCATTATTATTTCCACCAATAGATTTTGCATGTTTAATTTTTTATTTGATTTTACTAAACCAACTCCGCGACATCGCTGAAGAAACAAGTGAACATTTTACAAGAGAATCAGTTTCTAAATACTCCCTTTGATCATTTCGATTATTTTATGATGATAGTAATAGTGTGCCTATGATAGTGTTAAGTTCTCATACTGATAGTTTAAAGACATTTTTTCGACTAGCCTTAACGATATAGTTTTTTATTTCTTTGGAAAAAAGTTTGAATAATTCTACGTGAGTCATTGATAATATTTTTTCCTGTATATCATCAGTATGCCAAGTAAAAAGTAAGTCTCCGGTATTCCAAGAAAAAATACGATCTGATTCCAATTTTTTTTGAGTTTCTGTGTAATAATGAAAAGTAGAACGATAAGATACATTTAGGAAAGAAATTCAAGACTCAACATTTTCATCATGTGATGAAAAATCTTCATCAGAGCCAGAGTAATTTGGATCAGGTATTACTATACGCTTATCATTAGAATCCCAATCTTCATTTTAATATGATTCAAAGTTATCTCTTCTCGAAATTCTGAAAATTTTTCATTTAGACATTTTCTTAACCTATAAATCCATTGATGCACGAATACTGCTGACCATTACACAATACAATATTACTTTGATAATTCAGATTTCTTCCTCGGAAACAATAAATTTTTGCAAAGAATAAAAAGTTCTTGGAATTATCCAAAGAATATATGTAAATTTTTTCGAAGTCATTCAAGTAATTTTGGAATTTATAAAAACTTGTAATTTTTTGGAAAACTCATATTTTTTAAGAAAAAATTCATGAAAATTTGTAGAAAGATTTTTTAGTCACGTATTTGTTTGTTTGAACTAAATTTTCTCATAGTTAATAAATTTTCAGAAAGATTTGGAGTACGTCATTTATAAGAACAAATCTCAAACTATAAAAATATGTCCCGCCCAAATTTTTTTAATGCGAACAGCATTGATTATGATCCTCAAAGAGAGACATGATGAACCAAAACGAGTTTCAAGCGGTGATAAAACATTTTCATTTGAAAGGCTTTACACCAAAAGAAATCAGAGTTGGGTTGAACGCCATTCATGACAAGTCTACCCCTGTGTTTAAGACTGTTTATAACTGGGTAAATGAATTTAAACGCGGCCGTACAACAACAAAAGATGAACCTCGTTCAGGACGCCCCGTAGAAGTGAGTACGCCCGAAATGGTCAACAAAATCCACGATATGGTGTTGAGTGATAGAATATTTAAATTGCGAGAATTAGTTGGGGCCACAGGGGTATAAAAAGGTACAATCATTTCAATTTTGCATGAAAAATTGGGGATGAAAAAATATCAGCAAGATGGGTATCGCGTTTGCTCACTGTGGAAAACAAACGCACCCGCGTGGTCACCTCTGAGGTTCTTTTGGCACACGTCGTAAGCCGGAAGACTTTTGGCGTCTGTAATAGTGTCGGCGTGCAACGCCGATATATTCACTACTATTACCAATTATTTATAAAGGGGGAAGGCAAGGGAGGCGGTGTATCGCTCCAAGCAAAGCAGGAAGGAGAACAACGGGCAAATGATTTCACACACACAACTCGCTAACACACGTTTATTATAAACGCACTACCACGAGTGCCGACGAGAACACAAATCACTTATTACTATTAACACGCGAACTTATTCTAAACGAGATGACCGGCACGTTAGCGCCATGTCACCTCGTTAACCGGCTCAAACAATTACTTAAATTACACAATGCCGAAAACTACGCCGGCTCGGAAAAGCCTGGCGTAGCAACGCGAACCGTGAGAATCGCCGAAGAAAGGAAGAGATATAGAGAGAGAGGAATCGGTGACCTGACCAAATTCTGGTGGACGTCGCTGTTGCTGGCAGCCTTGAAGGTGTCTCACCGGCGGCTAGGCTGGAAAACCCCTCGCTGCTGCGTGGCCGGCGACCTGGCAGAAAAGGCTGTCGGGTTCTGCCTCGATGACGGCTTCTTTCAGGGCAACTGCTGCGTCGCTGGCAGAGGAAGTCCCGTCCGGCCGATCTGCTGAGGAATGCTGTCTTTTTCCGGACAAAGGGCAGGCAGCGATGGTCACCAGCTAACACTCGTACGACTGATTGCTGTCGCGCGCGTCGCGTCACTCACTGTCGCGAGTGCGTGAGAGCCGGCTTCT